AGAAGAGCTGGAAAGAGAAACACAGTGCTCCCCACACACCAAAATGCTTGACTGTTTCTGAGCAGCAAGGCAATGCTAGGAGCTAGGGCCTCTGATTAACACTGTTGCACATAAAAAAATGGTGTCAAAGTTATAGGGTCTGTGTGAAGGGTCTCCCAAAGGCCTTTGCGTTCTAGGCTTGGTCAGGAAGTGGTGGGACAATTAGGATGTGGGCCTTGGTAGAAGGCTAGGGAAGTTCCCTTACAGGGGATATCAGGACCTCAGCATGACTGTCTTTCTTTCCCTCCCTCCCTCTCTCCACCTTTGTTCAACTGTGTGCTCCCACAGACCCTAAAACAATGGGGTCATGTGACTGGAGACTGAAACCTCTGAAACCATGAGCCAAAAAAAGCTTTTCCTCCTCGTAAGTTGATTATTTCAGGTACTTTATCCCAACAGTGGAAAGGTGACTGACACAGTCAATTTTAAATTCCGTAAATTTGGCTTCACTCCTCATCAGATAACAAGGCAGGTTATGAAATGACTCAAGCACTAAAGATCGAAGCCTTGATCAGGCTTGCCCTGTGATGGCATGTGGATGGGCACAGCAAGAAGAGATCTCTATCGGCAAGACTTCCTCAGGGAACAATGGGATGTGTAGGGCATGGGATCATGATTTTAAGACGTGACAGATACCTCTTTTGTGTTTATGCTACACTAAGCTGCAGATTGGTTGAGAGAAGATTATTTTCCATGAAGCCAGTTAAAGGGCAGCTCCTGGCCTGGGATTTGACCACTGTTCCTTACAAACAAGAATGCAGTATCTGCATAGAAGACAGCAGACATGTTCCCAGGTCCCCAGGGATGGTCAGGGAAATAGCAAGCAAGGTAGCTGCTGGGTCTTTGTCTCCATAGGAAGGATGGTCTTAGCGTTCAAAGGCAGAATCCAAACACACATAGGTGGAGGCAGGCAGGGGGTCTCAGTCAGGGAACACGCCTTATTAGGAAACCTCAGGAAGCTGGGCTTCAATAGTGTTCATCCCAAACAACAAATCCAAATCAAATTCCTGCTCAAAGATTCCTGACATGGAGGATGTAGACAAATGGCCACTATTAAGCCATACACTTACTTTCTGACAAATTCTTAATTTTTATTCTATTTTTAACTACTACTATACCTCAGTATTCTTAAGAAAGAAAAGAGGAGATGGTGCTTTCACTAAAAAACTCAAAGTTCCTTTAAAGTCATTAGAATGTAGAACAAGCTCATTTTCTCAAAGCCAAAGACCACTCTGACCTGAACAAACACATTAATTTGAGTAGTCTATTAAAGTTTTTTAAAAAACATCTCTCATGGCAGTGTAAATATATAAAAGGGGAATAGGCTCCCAAGATTTTTTTAAAAAGTGTATTTTATTTCCTTAACATTTAGTACCACTGTATTAAGAGTTCTCCAGGAAAACAGAATCGATAGGAGAACCAATACATATTTCTATATAAACTACAGACGCACATCCTATTGCATATATATATATATATATATATATATATATATGAATGATGTGATCAGATACATACATGAACTGGCCCATGCAGTTTGGGAGGCTGACAAGTCCCAAGATCTGAAAGGTGAGTCAGCAAGTCGGCCACCCAGGAAAACTGATGGTGGAGTTCTAACCCCAAAGCCAGCAGGCTAAACCACAAGAAAGAGCCAATGTTTCAGTACAAGATCAAAATCAAGAAAAAGCTAATGTTTGTTTGAAATTATCAGGCAAGAGAGATTTTCTGTATTCAACAGGGTGAATCTTTTTGCTCTAGTCAGGCTTTGGACTGATCAAAGGCCCACCCACAGGAGGGAGGCCATCTGCTTTACTCAGTCTACCAATGTAAAGGTTGACCTCGTCCAGAAACATCTTCACGGAAACTCTCAGGTGATGTCTGACCAAGTACCTAGGCAGCCCATGGCCCAGCTAAGTTGACAGTGAAGGTGTCACAACCCCCTTTATGCCTGGTGGGTAAAAAAAGGCAAAACCAAGTAGTTCACAGGAGATGCTGAAATTTGTAGACAGCCAAAAATCAGGAATGGGTTCCCTCTAAGACCCTTCCTGTCCACACCCAACACTCCTGCTCCTGGTGCTCTCACTCAATTTTTATTCATCATCATGTACTCATCGATGTAAAGGTGTACACCACCATGTACCAATTAGAATGGCTACAATGTTTTAAAAACGAGTGTATGTCAAGGGCAAGCAGAGCAACCTGAAGTCTTGCCCACTGCCCTAGGGACTATAAAATGATGTGGCTACTTTCGCAAACAGGTTGGCAGCTTCTTACACATTTAAACTTATGCTTTCAACATGACCCATCCTGTGTATTTACCTGAGACTCATAAAACGTATGTTCACACACAAGCCTGTATGTGAGAGTTTATAGCAGCATTATTCATGATCAATAAATACTAGAAACAACCCAAATGCCCTTTGGGGGTAAACAGATAAACACCCATATGGGGAAATACTCAGCAATAAAAAGGAACACGCAACACACAAATCTCAGAAACACCATGCTGTGTCCAAGAAGCCAGTCTTAAGAGGTTCTCTTTACACAGCATTTTCAAAATGGCAAAAGAGTAGTGATAAAGACCAGCTCAACAGCTGCCAGGAGTGAGGGGCAGAGGGCAGGGTACCTACAAAATCACACAAGGGATACTGGTGTATTCAGGGGCGCGAGCAGTGTTCTGGATCCTGATTTGCGAAGTGATCTACATTTGATATGATCTACACTTGTTCACTTTTGCAGCATTACACAACCTTCCAATATCATACATTTACTTTTAAAATTGTTTTAAGTCAAATGATAAAAAAGAAATGCTTGCCATCCAAATTAGGCACAAGGTAAATGCACCTAATGAAAAATATCTACAACATGGAAGAGGCCACAGAGGTGGGGTCCAAAACACACAGCACCAGGTGGGCACAAAATGCTCACAGATAGCATGGTTCTCCTATCTTGGTATGAAAAGAGGTGAAGTGCTTTTCTCTCTGACCAGTGGCACAAGCTGGGAGGCCTCTGCAAAAGCTGAAGAGTGGTGGTTTGAGGATTTCTTGGTCCTGGACTTGGTCTTCACAGTCTCTTACAATGAAGCCTTAAGGAGAGAGCCTAGGCTTTGCAACAACAAAGGATGCACGCTGGATATCCTGGCCCCAGTTCTCATCTTTATCACAGACTGTGGCCTCCTAGACATTGCTTAAAGCTACAAGGACCACCATGTGCATCCCTCTTCCTCTACGGCACCCTAATCAGGCTTTGGGTCCCCATCCCCAAAGCATCAAAGGAAGCTCTGCTCTTCCTTTAATGCTGGGGTTCTGGGAACGAGAGACAGTTATTCTCAGAAAGTACATGCCAATGTTAGGACACTGTTTTGCATTTTTGCCTGTCACAACTGGTGCTGTGGGTTATCCAGGGCACAGATGGTGCTAAACATTCTATAATACACAGGACAGTGGCTTAAACAAGAATGGTACTGCCAGGCATGGTGGTGCATGCCTGGAATCCCAGCACTCAGGAGGCTGAGGCAGGAGGATCAATGTGAGTTTGAGGCCAACCTAGGTTACAGAGTGAGTTCAAGGCCAGCCTGAACTACATAGCAAGATCTTGTCTCAAAGAGACAAATACATATATAAAGAACACCATACCCACTAGTGCCAAGGCTGAAGAAGGAAACTCACTAACTACATCTGTGAATAAGCTCTGGGTAAGGTATTTGATAGCCTTATATCATTCACCTCCCAAAACCTTTTTGAGGGAGATATGATCCGTCCCATTCTATAGTTAAGAAACCTGTGGTGGAGAACCCTAAAGCAATGTGCCCAAATTCCAGTGATGAATCAAGAAGTGTGAAGACCAGGGGTACCAGCAGGACAGCACCAGAGGGCTGGGCTGGATGCTCTGTAAATGTTCTTTTTAGCCTTGTCTTCTAGGCTAAGAAAATATCACTGAGATTAAGCCAGCCCTTATGGCACATACCTATCGTCCCGGGTACTTAGGAAGCTGAGCCCAGGAGTTTGAGGCCAGCGAAAACAACAACGACAGACCACTTTTCAAAAAAGATGAGAATCACTGAGAGATGTGCAAAGAGGGGGGTGCAGGGCTGGAAGACAGGCAAGTCCGAACTCAAGGGTGAGTGGGGCCTGTCACCGCCCTAACCCCCAGCGACGGTCTAGGCAGAATCTCCTTCTGCTTCCCCATCACATCTCCATAAAGCCCGCAGAGAGACCCCACTCTATCCCCTGGCGGACTTCCTCTCCTCTCCTGCCAGCAAATCCTGCTAGACTGGATCACAAGGAGTGGGGCTCCACCTGACACATTTCAGCAGGAAACCCGTCAGGAAGGGACAACAGGCGGAGACTCAGAATCCTGTGGCACAATCTGCTGCCTGCCGTGACAGTTGGTGGGTGGGGCTTGCCTGAGAAAATCAGCAACAAGCTTGGAAAACAAGTCCTGTAATCACATCTGGTTCACTTTACCCCACTTACATAATTAGTGTTGACGGTGTCATAGCTAAAAATGTTCTGTGTTTGGGTGTGTGTGCGTGTGCGCGTGTGTGCGCAAGGCGGAAGAGATGAGAGGAAGAAAGCAACAGACGTAGAAAAGGAGAAAAACAAGGCCCGAGAGGAAAGGACACAGGTCTGAAGCTTAATGGAAAACTTGGAAACCAGAAGAGCTCCTGGCAGACAAAGAGGAACCTAGGATCAAGTGGTAAAACCACGAGACTGGGGGACCCTCCTGAAGACCAAGTGGAACCACCTCAAGGGAAGCTGCTCCTTACACTTTCTCCTTGAAAACTGCAGTGAAGCCCAAGCCAAGCAGTTCACTGAGGTCCAGCAGAATGCACTCCTGCTGTGCCCTGAGATCCACACCGCAGCTGCTGGAGGTCTGGCTGGAAAGAAGCCGGGCTACCTGGCCACGCACTCCGGCCCCCCGCCACCCCTCCATTCCAGCCCCAGGCAGCACACACTCACAGCTCCAGGATCAGAATGACGTCGGTCTTGCTCTCATACACCTCATGCAGAGTGATGACGTTCGGATGCTGGATTTCCTTCAGGATGCTGACCTCCCGCTCGATGTCCTCTCGGCTCACTCCCCGCCGGCTGGACTTGGTCCTCCGCTTCTTGATGAACTTGGCGGCATACTGCACACCGGTGCTTTTCTCACGGCATTTCTTCACCACTGCAAACTGTCCGCTGAAGAGAAAAGACGGAATATTCTTTTTGGTTCTCACTAAAAGCATGGCTGGAAGGAGGATGTGGCATGGGGGTAGGGAAATAAAATTGTAACCAGGAAAGTTCAAATGGTGGGAGATTAACAAATTAAGTAGGGATGTTTCTTATTATACATCTTGGAGTTTTATTACGCCTCTTCCTTCTGAATACTAGTTCAAGTGATGAAAATTATTTTCTCAACCATTTAACAGTTTACCCCAGAACATTAGTGCCAAGTGCCCATGAACTCACTACCTTCAAGAGTCATGGGGTCTACAGACCAATTTTATTATGGCTTTCCAATTTCTCTGGGGAGTCCAAACTTGCTCTGTATTGGGTGGTTGCAGAGATGGGGCAAAGGGAGAGAACAGGGAAACGGCCTGAATACAGACACTGTCAGCAACTGCCTGACGGTCCAGGGAAGAGGGGCTTCTGTTGCCTTCTCCTCAAAAAGAGGACACTGTGTCCCTACAGGGCACTTGTGGGGACAGGGATGGAGTGGCTCCGCCCTAGACAGCCATGCCCCATGCATCCTGGGCTCCCAAAGGGTGGGCCTGTTGGCAACTCTTGCCTGGTCACTGCAACTTGTCTCAGGGGCTTCAAATTCAAGACACACCATAGCCTGAACCACAGTCCTTTAAGATACAAAGAGCAAACCATTTAGAAAACAAATAAAACTTTCTGCAGGAAAGCCACCAAGAATTTAAATACAAACTGAGAATCAAAGACTTTTCTGAGTGTGTTTCCACCACCAAATGTTCCGTGTTGGACTCTTCCCCAGTGATAGTAATCGCAGTATGCGTACAAGTGTGTCCCAGGGGTGTGTGCACATCCCTAAGGAAACCGTGCTGCCAAGGCTGCGGAGAAACCCCCGGGACCTGCTCATCAATTCCTCACTCAGCTTCGGGCTCCCTGCAACAGTGGCGGTCAGAGGGGAAGGGCTCAGGGACGACGGGAGGGAACGTGCCCTTCGTGGCTGATGCTCCAGATCTGGCTGAGCCTGACTGCCGAGGGCCAAGTGAGGGTCGAGAGTGCCCTCAGGAAACACGTTCTAGACCTATCTGAACACCTCTTCTCTGAACACATCTTTCCCCATTGTTCTCTTACCCCCTTATCAATCTGCCCCTTCCCTGCCAGCTTCCGATCTCTCTGAGTCCAAGGAGCCCCTTGCATCCTCGTGGGGCCCTCACCATTCTCTACCTGTTTCTTGCCACTTCCAGCTCCCAAGACTGTAAGTCCCTGGGGATGGGCGTCTTTCTATCTCCTCAGACTCTGGGGGCAAAGTCATTCTACACAGTCCATGCAGAAGGCCAAGGTGCTGCTTCTGAACTCTGAGACCATAATCCTGAGAACCAGAAGCAGACACTGAGGCTGCTGCGTTACTGTTGTGTAATTAATGGAATTGCGTAGCAATTTGAAGCACCAACTAGTTGTGTAGCCCTGGGTTCAGAAACTGCTTAGCCAGTGGGTGTAAGAGCACTGGCCATCTCGCGGAGCTATTGGAGGGGAAGAGTGTATTACTCAGCTTTCCTTCACTGTAACAAAACACCTGAGAAAATCAACTTATAAAGAGAAAAGGTTGATCTTGACTAATCATTTTAGAGGTTCCAGTCCACAATCAGTTGGCCCTACTGCTCTGGGCCTGTAGCAAGGAAGCACATCATGCTGGGAGCACACAGCAAAGGAAAACCCACTCATCTCCCAGCCAGGAAACAGAGAGCAAAGAAGGGGTGGGGTCCCAGAATCGCCTTTGTGGTCATGGGCCCCAGTGACCTAACTTCCTCCCCTCAGCCCACCTCTTACTTGGTCCTGGGGACCAAGCCCTAGCACCTGGGATTTTGGAGGGTGTTCAGAATCCAAACTATAGTAAGGGGGAAAGTGACTAAGTGAGCAAATACACAAAGTGTCCAGAAAACTCCTGACTATGCCGAGTCTTTGGTAATGTTAGCTATTATTAATTTGTAACAACTGGGATTATTTTCATAAGCACATTATTGCTTCAGTCTTGAAGTGATGCAGTATTATCCTCAAAATATCACTTTCCATCACTGACAGGGAAAAAAGAGCCCTAATAGGACTGGACCGCATTAATAATGTGCATAAAACTACTGTCCAAGCTGGGTGCTGGCTCACCCTGCGCACACACACCATCCCCAGCCCTTCCTCCCCACCCCAGTGGGTGCTGTTCTCAGCTGCTCACCACAGGGTGCCCTGGCCTTGGGAACTCAAGGGCTGCACACTGGTCATGGTACAGGCAGCCAGGCCCTCGTGGGTGCGGACCTTTGCGTGCTTGGTGATGCCTATCAGCTTCTCCACCACAGAACCTCCTAGGGCGTCGTGTGGGGAGGACAGACTACCAGAGGAGCCTTCTTCCGGCAATCCCAGACACTCACTTCTGTGAGCTGTGGATTAACCGCTGCTCTGGTCCTTTCCTTCCTGGGCAACTGGCCCTTAACCCAAATGCTCCCTGGCATCTACTTTCTATCCTGGCTTGAGATCACTTGAGGGACAATTTCTCCTCACAAACTGTCACCACCTTAACAACAAGGGAAAAGAGCAACTTGTTTGTTTGTCTGTCTGTTTGTTGGCAAGTGTTTCTAAGTCTTGGTCTCCCAGAGTAACACATAAACCAACTTGGAAGGTAAGCTCAGACCAGGAAGGAAAGCGAATGGACAGAAAGCAGCAAGGCCCCATTGCAGCTTGCTGTGAGGAGCAAGCCTCCTAGCTCCTGAGCACCCATGGAGGCGCTCGCCATTAACATCAATGCAGCTGGAGCTGCTCCAAATGGGGAGTGGGGGTCGACTTTACCTTAAACAGATTCTGTGTGCCCTGTCATTGGTGCTGTTGGAACTATAATTGACCCTCATCTCTCACCGATCCTGTACTTGGGCATATGCCTTCTCCCTGGCATTTCCTGTAAGCTCCACACCACTACTCAGGGTACTTGTGGCTATCCATGGACACGCATGCACTGGTGGAAATTTTTGGTTGTTGTCATTCCTCACTGAGGACAAACAAGCTGATGCCCTTTTTGTAATCTATTTAAACCATTTCTTTTGTGTTTTTGTGCTTGTCATTGAGGATTTTAAAGTTTAAGATGGCACACAGCATGGCACAGAAGTATGGTCTAGTGATCTAAGAAGAAGGCTGTGATGTGCTGCATGTGAGACAGACCCCATTCAGGCAGGAGCTAGAGTGCTGATGGCATGAGTTCCACGTTAGAGAATCAACAATATATTAAATAAAGTGTCTTTAAACAGAAACACATTAAAAATAAGGTTGTGCAATAGGTTCATAAAAACGTACCAAGGTTTACAGAAACCTGACCCTGTATCTCCTCTAGGGACAGTGAGTCACCGGTGCAGTGTTCGCCATGAGCTCACAGAACGTAAGGCTATTACATGTCATTTTTCCAATGTACCAACATTCTTATCAACTAATAACTAATACAGCCCTTTGTTGTATTAGGTATTGACAGCCAAATTCATTTTGACATTAAAAACTTTCAAACATAATAAACATTTATTAACTATTAGTGGTCAGAGATATGCAAAGATAATGAGATACAATACTGCTGTAAAGAGTTTTATCTCTTAAAAAAACTTGACTTAAAAATAATCACAAATTTTATTAAAAAGAAGAAAATCTTCAGTCAGGAGAAAAACTTCACAAAGAGCCTAATTAATTTGTCCAGCTTACTAATAAATCCAGTTGACCCATGTAGCCACTGAAGGAACTGTGATCAGGATTTCAGGACTACATGAAAAGCTCTTCACATATATCACTTTATTAAAAATCATAACTTCATGAGATAGATATCACTGTCACTTCTTCCATCAATGGAAAACCAAGTATTTAAAAACTGCCCCCCAATCATTCAGCAAATAAGTTGCATAACTGAGAACTTAATCCAAATCTAAGTATATTTGCTCCCAAACCCCCACTCACTGAGCCCTGTTGCTGTGCTGACCTTGTGTGCATTCCGTTTGATATACAAATCCCCTCCCTGGGAAGTAATGAACATCTTTCCAGGAAAGAGCTTTGCACAGGAAATTCAAACACAGAGGACTTGTGGTTGAAACAGTTTGAGTAATGTTCCCTTTTCCTCCTCACTGAAAACTCACAAAAAGTTTTAATTAACACCATAGCTGTGAGGTGCTGTGAGGTGCCCTGCAATAAAAAAGGGAGCCATGTTTGTGTACATGCTGAGAATGCACCATACAGATGAACATCCCCAACCTAACAGGAAAACCCAAGACATCCAAACTCTGTAACTTGTTGCATGCTGACATGAAACCAGGAAATTCCGTATCATGAAACTCTGTTTCATGCATGAAAGTGTTAAGAGTATTGTATAAAGGCAGGGATGTAGCTCAGTAGTGCTTGTCCAGCATGCATATCTATGAAACATAAATGAATTTCAGGCTTAGACTTGGGTCCCATCACCAAGGCATCTTGTTTCTACCCAGATACCTGAATTCCAAATCCAAAATAAACAACAAAATCTGAAACACTTTTGGTCCCAAACATTTCAGATAAGAGATATTCACTCAACTTATACTAACAATTAGAAAGAAACATAAGAAGATTCTCAAAGTCAGGATACAAGAATGTCATGCACCCATTTCTGAAGCATTTGCATTTTTACAGGCATTATGTAGTTCCTAGTACACTGAAAATAGACCTGTGCAACTTTATTTAACCCAGACAGGTCTTACTTTCAAACTTACCTGTTTGTGGGACCCTCTGGTTCCTGTAGAAGAAAGATAGGGTGGATATGTTCTAGCAGGAAAGATATTCCAGGAGGATATAGCTCAGTGTTAAGAGTACTTGCCTAGTATGCATGAGGTCCTGGGTTGAATCTTCAGCACAGAAAAAAAGACTGCGTTCAAAGTGGAGAAGGCACAGGCTGACTTTACATAATGATTTCTGCCTCACAGTGGGTGCCCAACTGGGTCTAGCAACAGCATTGCCAGTCTTGC